TCCTTCCTTCCTTCCTTCCTTCCTTCCTTCCTTCCTTCCTTCCTTCCTTCCCATTACAAAGTTGCTTTATTTTTTTGTTTCTTCCTTTGTTTTGAATTCGTTTTCCTTTTTTGTTTTGCAGAAGTGCAAAAGCTGCCATGTGTCTTCTTCCAAACAGTGCCCTTGGCATTGCATCCACTCTCTTTGCTAGGCTAGAAGGTTTGAAGCTTGGAATGACCTTTGAAACCATTAACCAATCAACATCTCCTGATGATACATTCAACATGGCATGGGTCTTCATGATGATGATTATATCAGCTGTCATGTTCATGATACTCGCTTGGTAAGCCATGCATCATTCTTAATAAGAGGTCTGCTCTACTAGGATTCGGTGTAGTTGCTATTTACGCCAATCATACTGATTGGTATTTTTTTCATATATTTTTTAAAATTCCATTCTATTTTATAGAGTTTATTAATCACATATGCTATTGATATTCTTATTCATAGGTACATCGAAGGCGTGTTTCCTGGAAAATACGGAATCCCAAAGCCATTTTACTTTCCTTTCCAAAAGTCTTACTGGTGTGGGTTTTCACATGATGATATCATAGAGGCAAATGCCACGGATAAGGTCAGTCAGCTGAGGATTTTGTGTTTCAGTGGTTAAAGTAAAGTTGGAAACAATGTGTTCAACCCTTTTTTGGAATCCGGAATCCAGTTTATAATGGAATCCAGAATCCAGTTTATGATGGAATCCAGAATCCACCCTTTTGGAATCCAAAATTCGCACCAAAAATTTTGGAATCCGGAATCCAGACCCTTTGAATCCGTAATCCAGAGTCTCGGAATCCGGAATCCAGCGTTTGGAATCCAGAATCCACCATAGGTTCGGATTCCCTTACATGGGGCAAAGTCAGCTGAGGACTTTGGCTTCTAAAACATTTCTAGATCATTGGCTATAAAGCCTTTTTAAAAAAGAGTTCGTGAAGGAGTTTTGTCGCATGCTGCATGTTGCATACCAAGCTTGAAAAGTATGGTGAATCATATTAATATCGCCTTAGACGAAAATATACCAGAAAAAACGTGCAGACAAAGTTTTGGAAAATTCTATCTTATCTCGTCCTTTTGCTGATTTCACATCAAACATATTGAATGCGGGCTTGATGTGCAACATTCAGTGACATCTTTACCCTACCTTTTGGGATAGCTGTATACATAATAACACATACACTATTGATGGTTTCACGGAGGCCATGTTGGAGGAACTTAACAAAAGAATTGTCAATGAATTCTTTTGTTATATCCTCCAACATGGCCACTGTGTCTTTTGTTATTTAATTCTCTTGGGAATGGTTGAAAACCATCAATACTGCCTTTAAAACGTATTAACATGACGCGGTGGTATAATGTACACCTCTCCACCCCTGTGGTGCGTGGTTTGATTTCCAGCAGCGCCGCGCTTTGGCCAATTTTAGTTGGTTCCCTTTCTGGCTCCTAAGTATTTAATCTTTTCAGTACTTTCGTTTTTTCTCTAAATCAACCACCCTTCCTAATTCTACTGTCAGAGCTGTGGTCCAGAGTGAGGGGGGGGGGGGGGGGGGGGGGGGGGGGGGGGTATGTAGTGGCTGTTTGTTTTGACTTTCATTGTGACCACTAAGATGCGCCACTACTTTATTTACAGTGTTGATTACGAATATACATTTTCGACCCTATTCTTCCCAGTAAAGTATTCCATGACACATTTGCTTCATACGTTTTTAATATTTTGACTCTCGGCTATGCTCTTATTAGGAGCTTGGTCCAGTTGAAAATAAAGATCAAGATCACCACGCTGTGGAAGACGAACCTACCGACCTTCAAATAGGTGTTGGAATCAAAGGCTTGAGAAAAGTGTTCAAGGTATAGAAAAATACAGCGACCATTACGATTAAAGCTTGCATTTAAGTAATCAACCTCGTAGTCATTGTGATGCTAATGATGTGTGCTTTTTGTCCGTGTATTTCGTACTGTGACTCTAAGATCAGATATTTGTTTGACTGTTGTAAAAAGCCACAGCACACGGCTTGATCACGGAAAAGAATTGGCGACATCAGTTGAACCAATCACTGCGCGCGAAGCAATACTTATGCAAAGAAAACGCTTGTGCACGTACCGTGTATGGTACTGTCATGTTCAGGAAAAGCACGTCCATTATACCGTGAGTTTTTTTACAGTCATGTATATAGAATCTGCGCTAACTCGGTATTAGTTGGAAACAAGAAGCGAAAAAAAACACAAACAAACAAACAAATAATAGATTCAACAGACCTTTTCCCCGATACGGCGGCCATCTTGAGTTCTATTGTTTTAATTAAGACATTATGGGATGCCATATTAGAGTGCACTGCTGTTATGCTTTATAAATTTGGCACGTTTGCCCCCTTGGCATGCCATATTCAAGATGGCTCCGTATCAGTAGAAAGGTCTATTGCTTCCTCCGCATTTAACTTCAATCTTTAGCCACATCTTCAATCGGGTCACATCAAAATCATTTATTATAACGGCTCTCGTTACTCTAGAGCTCCGCCGGAACCAAAGTAGCAGTAGATGGATTATCACTCAACATGTACAAAGGCCAAATAACAGCACTTCTTGGACACAACGGTGCAGGCAAGACCACCACCATGTCTATCCTAACAGGTCTTTTCCCACCAACGTCGGGTTCCGCTCATATTGGTAACAAAAGTATCCTTACAGACATTGATGGAATAAGAGAAAGTCTTGGACTTTGTCCTCAACATAACGTGTTGTTTGACCGGCTGACTGTCAAAGAACATTTGGAGTTCTTTATTAATTTAAAGGTGGGTCTTTAAGTGCTATCACAAAACGAACAAGTGACAATCAGCGAACGAAAGCTTTCGCGCTGGAGCCCCTACTAAACAATTGCGTTTGCTGAACTCCCCACTTATTGAAGCCGAATGGGCTCTGTGATTTGTGAACCTTAGGACAAACTGTATTGTGTATTGTGCTGTATTGTGTAGGTCTAACTTGTATGTGTTTGATCCCTTTAGGGCAAGTATGGACAGGCAGCCAAGGATGAGGTCCTTGCCATGATCACTGACATGCAGCTCCTTGATAAGATGAATGAAAAGTCTGCTACGCTATCAGGTGGAATGAAACGAAAACTAAGGTATACTTTCTTTGTTACTTACCGCAAGTTTCCCTTAGTTGATAAGAGTGGTTAATACGCTGCACTCAAGTATTGTGATAGGATTGTTAGTTCTGAGCCACAGAAGCCGGTTTGAGGGCTAAGGAATTTCAGTCTTACTGATAGATAAATCATTGTATTATCTCTTTTCCCAGCCTAAAATGGCTCTTGTCAATGCTGGATGGGCCCAAGCCTTAGTCGTAAGACRTGAAATATCTTTGACACACATTTACTATGGTATCATTCAGTTCTGAGCCACTGAAGCTGATTTAACAGTCTTGGCTGATAGATAAATCATTGTATAATCTCTCTTCTCTGCCTAAAATGGCTCTTGTCAATGCTGGACGGGCCCAGGCCTAAGTCGTATGCATTTATTTGCTATAGTTTAAATGTCGGTCATCATTAGTAAAATCCGCAAGAAACTCTCATAACGAAGTATTGTAGACCTGTACGAAGATTGGATTCAGCATGCCACGATATAACCTTGTGTAATGTTTATTTCAGTTGCGCCATTGCCCTGGTGGGAGGGTCTGAAACAGTATTCCTGGACGAGCCCACGTCAGGAATGGACCCTTATGCTCGAAGGGCTACCTGGGACCTTCTTTTGAAGTACAAAGCAGGAAAGACGATTATTTTGACCACTCATTTCATGTAAGTGAATTTCATCGTTGTTTTACAAAAGTTTGATGATAGTATTATAGGGGATTTTACACCAGGCAATTATACTTGGAACATGTCTCGCACTTTTGTTGCGCCATATTGTTGCAGCTGCTCCGATAGGGTATATGTGTTACACTAGGCAGTGATCCATGTAATATGTCTTGCAATTTTGTTCCATGCAACTTGTCTCGCACATTCGATCGTGATGGTCTGGGCAGATAAATAATTTACGCACAATAAAATGTTATTTATTATTTGGCTGTTATAACAAATCTTTGCGAGACAAGTTACCGGAGGTGTGTTACACTAGACAATGTCTCGAAATTGTTATCACAATCACCGCAACAAGATAAGGCATTGCGAGATAAGAGACAAGTGGCAAGGAACATTGCCTTGTTTAACACTGACCATCTAATACCAAAAAGTGTGCTCTCCCTTTTGCCTCGTTAGAATTGGGCAACCACTCCCCGCGTCAGTTATCGAAGTAAAATAATTGACTTTACCTTTCTTTTCCTTTTCTCAGTCTCAGTGTTGCGTTAGTATAAAAAAGAATCAATGTTGTTTTCTTTAGGGACGAAGCAGATTTCTTGGGAGATCGAATTGCAATCATGGCTGATGGACAGTTAAGATGTTGTGGATCATCCCTTTTCCTTAAGAGCAGGTACAGTATTGTGAATGATATGTTACTATTAATGACGGATTTTCATGATGTGGTAGCAGTGCAGGTGTTGCGCCCGGCATTCAAAGAAGTGCCCCTAAATGTGGTCGAGTCAAGGGTATTTGAAAATTTCAAATTTTATCTCCAAGCTGATCAAAGTCAGAACACGGCTAACTCACAGGTTGAATTGGAATCTAGATAGCGTGATAGCGGGGAAGGAAAACCGGAGAACTGGAGAAAAAAAACCCTCGAATCGAGAAAGAGACCTAACAAACTCCACTTACATGTGATGCTGAGTCTGGGAACCAGAGACCCCAGAGACTCAGTAGTGTACTGCTCATTAACAGTGCTTGTCTTTTTTCACACCTTGGTGATAAATGTTATGCTGAGTCTGGTGCTTCCGACTCCGATTACGACTCTAGTGTAAAAAAGACTTCGCCATCTCTGCTCTAAATGCCTCTGCTTTTAGTTTTAACAGCTTAAATTAAATCAAATTAAACTTAATTTAAATTGGTTAAATGAATGAATTTTTTTTAGGTATGGAGTTGGTTATCATCTGACTTTAGTCAAAGAAAAGGATTTCAATGAAAACACGACCATCAACACAGTCAAGCGCTTTGTTCCCTCGGCTGAAATCCTAAGTAGTGTCGGTGCTGAGCTGGAAATGGTTCTCAACAAAGACGCAGCAAAATCCTTCGAAAATCTCTTTCTTGATTTAGAAAGTGAGTTTGAGTTATTGATCTAACTTAACCTACGCTTCTTCTTGTTCGTGATACCTGTATATACCTTTTTTTTATAAAAAAGATTGTATGAGCTAAAGGCAATAGGCGATAAACGAAAAGCAAAAGATCATTCCAAGTTCCAAGAATAGATAAAACGACTTGTGTTTCTTATTATATTCTCATCATGAGCATGGAGATCCAGTGTTTAGTCGACGATTAACCATTTTACAGGCATCGATTGAATCGTTATGAGATGTATTTCCTATCTGCTTTGGCTCCCACGTCAACCTTCTTTGAAATAGATGTATGCTGAAGGGTTTACCTTTGACTATGGGTACGATATACCCCCTGCAGCACGTCGGAATGAAGCTCAATTTGGAGGGCATAATAATAGGTTTCCAATTATCAAGAGACTGACATTCTTTTGCTTTGTCCTCCGAATTGAGGTGCTTTGACGTCACATACAAGGGGTCTATATACCGCACGATAATCACTAACTACATACATTTATAATTTATATATTTTTCCACAGCCAAGAAGCAAGAGTATGGAATAGCTAGTTTTGGGGTATCTGTCACCACGATGGAGGAAGTTTTCATGAAAGTAGGAGAAGGAGCTGAAAAGACAGTTGACGATATGTAAGTAAACTTGTTTGTCAATATTATTTTGGTTTATGATGGATGGTACGTGCTCCTTTATTGGCTATGAATCTTCTATGAATCTTTTCAGTACCCCTTACATGGGTTTTTTGGGGGGAGGAGGGGTTAAAAGCGCTCAATGAAGATCGATGTACAAGATAGTACGCGCGTTCCTATTGGCTGATTTAGACCCTCCTAAACTCACATTAGTTTACTAAAAACCTTGCAATAAACGTGGTGAGAGTAACGCTCCTATTGATTGAAAACCATGTAAAACACGTGATAATACGCATCCTCCTTTTGGTGGAATACRAATTATGAAGGTGATAGGACTTAATTGGTAAATAAAAAGTTGCAACAAGCATGATAACATACCATCCTATTGGTTAAAAGCCGTACAATAAACATGATAAAATATCGTCTTATTGGTTAAAAGCCGTTCAATTAACGGACCGCCACGTATTTGCATAACGCCTTGAAAAACGTTGATTGATTTCAGGTTTTACAAAAATAAAACCAAAAAATAAAGCATATTAAAACCATACATGACAATATTTATTWATTCTTAAAAGTTTTTAAATGTGATGTTTAATAGACTTGTTTAACAGAGGTTCTAACATGCTGTTATTGAATATGACTAGAGAAACTCTATCTCTGGTATTCTCTGGTACCGAGAGTAACGCTAATTAACCTGATATTTTTCATTTTCTTCCATCTACGATTATATAACAATCATCCTTTTAATCCTTGATGAAACGTTTCTACAAGTGAGTATAAACAAGCTAAACGATAGACCCATTCAACTGGCTGCAATGTTTTCCCATTTCAGACCAAATGATAAGTTAGGTCTCCTGAGAGAGAGAGAGTCCCAATTCAGTTTTCCGACCCAAGTGCCCGTTTACACATAAAGATATGGGGGCCCTACTTCTCCTTGAATTAACTCTTCGATTACTAGCACCATTAAATAGGTCTTTTGCAAATCAGTAATCACGTGCTGATTATTGACTGACAGCAAATGAATGAACATTTTGATTCCCATGGGTGAAATTTTCTGAAGAGCAAAAAGACTTTCTACAACATGTTCCGAGAGATCGTCAAAACTGCATTTCTTAACAAATTGGTTACACATCCTTTCATTCAGTTCTTTACAAATAGCTAAAAAGAATCACCAAGTTAAATTAACTGCAAAGGGCCTATTATGGAAGCTTTATTTAAACAGGGTGACTCATTCAGCTTAAAGCTGCTATCCAGAGGGGCCGTGTAAATCACCCTTCTCCACGTAAACGATCTCTGAATGTTTTTATATATGTGGTACTTACTTTTGAAAGCCTTCCAAAGTAAGGACAAATATTCTCGCCTGTGGATGGTTGAAATTTAATGCACCGGGTATGGCAAATAGAACGCTGGTCATTACCAGATGAGCAGACTCCTCAATTTAGCTAATATTTGATATTCATCACAAGGACTAGGTTCTGGATGATTCTTGGTCTGAATTGGGAAAACATGGCCAAGTGGAATGGGTCTATTTTGCATAACTTTGTTAACCATTTAATTTAATTCCAATAATGCCTTGTAAGACTTTATGGTAAAGGTTGTCAGTAGACTTAAGTTTTAAACCGATCATAAAAGTCGTTTGTCATATACGGCATGTACACTAACAATTTACGTAATCTACCCGACCTTAAACGAAACAACAGACCCCTTGCACGTGACGTCTAAGGAGCTTAATTCGAAGGACAAATTAAAATAATTTCAATCTCCTGAGAATTGGAAACCTATCGCTATGTCCTCAAATTGAGCTGCATTCCGACGTGCTGCAAGGGAAGTATTGTGTAAGGATTGTCCCCGAGAATTTGAAAGGAGCACCTCGATATAAGTGAGAGGACGGTAGAGTCGTTGCACGTAATCTGTGAAACAAAATTTGAATTGAAATAATRTCTTTTAACGTCTCATATAGGATTCTACATACCAAAGCTCATTGGACTAACTTATACTAGTGTAATTAATCTTATTACACTTTTTATTAATCCTAACTTAAATCGTTTTTATAACAACCAACCAACCAACTAAACTTATCTATCCCTACAGTCGTTAACTAATAACAGTAATTTGAACACCACACACGCACACGCACACCAACTAACTCAAATAAACTCTCACTTAAAGTAAACATGAAAATGATTACCATTTGCATGAAAACAATTATAAAAATATTAAAAAACATACTAGGTTTTTATTACGAGCTGAAGACGGTCAATTTCTAGCTTATTTTCTCCATGTATATTATGTGTAGGCAATCAACATTTCCCGCTCTTTTTTCAAGTGAAGAGGCATAAGACAACAGAGCCGTTTCTAGAATTTTTTGTTCGTTTTCGATTTTCGTTTTAATATTTATTTTAGTGTTTTGGTTGTTTCTTTTTTACTTTTAGTTTTCTTTATTTTTTCTTTGTTTTTGGTTTTCTTTTTTATTGTTTCCTTTTTTAGATTTTAGTGTAGTTTAGTTTTTCTGTTTGTCAAATGGACCACTTGAGTGACACACTCTGATGTCAATAAATACCTTGCACTCACTAATAAACGTACTAACAAGCTAACTTTCCAAACCCCACTTAACTGACCTTTATCGTTCTTAAAGTAGTGTAGCATTACAATCTAAATAAAATTTACCAACAGCGTTAGCGATCACGAACATCACAAAGATACAGAGAATATCGTTACGATTCCAAACGAAACAGATCCTGACATGGGTGGTAAGTCGAAATATTTTTTATCTTTTCATATGACATCATGGCAGTCTTGTTGGTGGACAGCTAAAGAAATAATTTCTTGTAGCGTTTATAAAGACCGTTAAAGTGCATGCGGACACACTCACCGGGACCACTTAAACAAAATCTAAGATTTAAAAAATTTTAGCCAATGAGGAGAGAGCAAAATAGGTATCATATTGACCTTAGCCAATCACATTCTTCTACTTATTTTCATTTCCAGTTGTTGTTAAAACATCCAACTTTTTTTCAGAAATTTAGGCTCCGTTGCTTGCTCCTGATTGATTGAATCAAGTTTACTTAAGTTTGATTTCTTTGTTTTCACTCGATTATGTTGTGATAGGTTAACTTCTTTCACTTGGCCCCGGTTAGTATTCCGCTCAGTAAAAGTCCTTCTTTTCCTCCAGACTCAGTCGAGTCGGTTTTTCCCTGGCTTGGATATGTTGGAAATGGCGACAAGTTTCATTACTCATGTGACATGCAACTCAACTCCATTCCCTACCCTGCACGTCCAAGACAGAAAAAATAAAAAATGAAAAACCTCAATCCTCAATCCTTACCCTGCGTGTCCAAGGCAAAAAACAAAAAAAAAAACAAAAAAAAACAACAACAACAACCAAATATATAAAATAAAAAACGCTCGACTGAGACTTGAGGGGACCGAGGGACTGTTACTTGAAAAGTGTATCCATAGCTTCTAGTGTAATGTACACCAACATGGCTGACATGCCTTTGTGATTATAAAAACCAAGACAATAATAGCTATAGAAAATTCTTGGCTTTCTCGAAGTAATCAGTATGATTTCCTGGAGCTTTTTATACGATCACTTCATTAAAACATCGAAAGTGGGCAGACCTGTACCTGTATTTGCTATACTTTGTGTTAAAATAGTGCTGTTAAACTGATTGTCGATCCAATCGGTCGAAACAGCAAGAATTTGATCAGAATTTTGATGAATAGAAACCAAAATTTAAATCTAAACATGATTGTCGATCCATTTGAAACGCTTCGTAAACCATAACTTATTTTCTTTTCAGAGTCATTCTTAATAAAACTTCTTATTCATTCTTGGACAAAGTTCCTGCAAGTCAAATGTTGTTACCCCTAGCCCCAATCATGGTTTTCCCATTTCAGAGGACGACTAGTCTCCTCCGAGAGCCGTCATTAGATTCGGTCCCAGATCCTTATGGGCCCCCTATCAGTGGATAGGGCCCGTGAGTATCTGGGACAGGAACGTATGACGGCTGCGGAGGAGACTAGAGCACGACATCCTGTTATCCGCTTGAGTATTATTATTTTTACAAGATAAAAAATATTATTCTTAAAATATAACGCGTTTTATGATTATTTTGTTAATGTTAGAGTGGTTTTCATAAACTTGTAAACTATACTATATCTTATTCAGTACTATTACATTCTAAGTCTTTTGTTTTCTGTTGTGTTTATCCCGCTATATTACACTCTAGTTAGTACACTTTGTTTCGTGGGTTTTATAAAAACCACTCTAACGATTTTAAAACATAACATATGTTATTTCTATATTCTGTATTCCATAAGGATGACCATTTAACCTGCTTGTAATTGTCCCTTTTCTTTCCCATATGGATTCTCTTTTCTCTTGGCAAGAAAGGGAAAGTATGGCCGGGGCGTAGCCAGAAACTCCAATGAACGAAATGTCCCTCCCCTCCCTCCTCCTCCATTCCCCCCCCCCCCCCCCCCCCCCCACCCCCCCCCCCCCCCCACTAGAGTGTTTTTCTGTGACGAAACACAACTTTCCATTTACTTTTCCATTTTGGTAGAACTTCAGAAAGGCTTCGCACACAAATGGCAACAGTACAAGGCGATGCTTGTGAAGAGGTTCCTGAACTCCAAGCGAGACAAGAAGGCCGTCGTCACACAGCTGATCATGCCATTAGTGATGGTTCTTTTCGGTCTCATTATCATCAATTCAAATCCAGCACGAGACAGTGATCTCCCTCGCCTTCTCAAGCTCTCGAACCTTAGCGTTGGTGGTGTCAATTCTAAGGCTTTCTTTGGTTACTTCCGTGACGTTAACGCCTCAACAAAAGCCTCATATCTTTCGGTAAATATTTACTTTCCCTTTTACTAAGTTTGTAGGGGAAATGTGCTTTGCATCAATAGAAGTCTCTTGTTTTACCTTGGGCGTAATGTTCCGTAATGTTTTCCAACTTCAGAACACGTGTAATTCTCGAAAATATGATTATTTGGTTAAGTTACACTCACATTCATGTGTCTTTTCATGCGCAACTGTTGAAAAAAGAATTATAAAATTGGGAGCGCATGCTTTATGAGAACACACAGCACGCGCGCGCACTTTGATCAGTTGCGTTATTCCTATCTAAAGTAACGGTTATCGTAATTTGTATTTTAGAAAAGAAAAGAAAAAAAGCTTGCTTGCTGTACTTTGTGGAGTTATAAAGCACTTGGGGATTGACAGAACGCTCAAGAAGTGTCGATAACTGTCCGCTACGCGTCGGGATTCTCCTAACATTTCTCCCGTGTTCTGCCAACCCCCGCTTTATATAACTGCACACAGCATACGCGCGAGTTTTCTATTTCTTCATTGGTACTCTAGGGAATGGTACACATTGCCCCAGGGTATAACGCTTGACATCGTTCAGTTGGTCCACTTTAAATTAACCTAAAAAGTCGCTTTCATAGGAGTGGATATTTGTCATCCAGTAGATTCCTGGGCTGTTCCTAACCCTGCCCAACCCTTGGGCTTAACATTAACAGTGCAAAATAAGTTGTATTTATGCATGATTGCATCCTATTTATACAAGCTTGCCTATTAAGACCCACTCTTTCCAATAACGCTAATTCATCTGTTCACAGGCAGCGAAAGACTTCCTATCAACTGTGAAAGTAGACACTATTGATGTCACAGACAGCGTTAATACCATCCAGAGCAAAAATACCTTGAACGGTATTCAAGTCCAAGGAACAAGCTATAACTATAGTTCTCCTGTGAAGGACAAACTGAGCCCTTGTTGTAATTATGAGTTCCTGATACTGAATGCCAAATGTCAGAAAGATGTAAGTAAAATATGTTTCTAAAAGTAGTTTTTTTGTATGAGYGGGAAACTTACCGTACGGTACATTGTAACATTGAAAATGGCTTTCCATAGTTTTTCTATCTTCAGTCCAATGGCAACATATAGAGCAGTTTCCATACGTGTAAAATTACTGAAACTTAGCAGATCTGTCTTTGTTTTCCCAAACGTGAAATCCTTCTTGAGGTGGTAAAGGGAAAACACGGTGCATTTAGCTACACAAGGCGACCAATTCAAATAAAAGTTTTAGATGAAAATATAATCGAAAAAACTAATTGCATTTACCTTTTTTGATGTCAATGAGAAAGCGTGCTAAACAATGTAAGTGAATGGGAAAAATCAATCAAGCACGAATACCGTACAATATCCCCCCCCCCCCCCCCCCCCCCCCCC